TTGGATGGCCGGTTTCTTGAGGTAGCCTCCGTTTAACGTCCCTTACTTCATTCATCCAGGTTGTCCCGTTACGTAAGTTACGACTGCCATCGCCGTCCTTGTTTATACAACTGGAGCTTTGCCCGTACAATTTAGCTCAGTGGCTCGGCCACAGAAACGATCGATTCTTCAAACTGCCCTCCCTCCCGGCTTCCACCTTACCCGATCAACTTTTACCAGAAGCGTCACGAAATGAAAGCTTTTACGCCTCTATTGTGCCTCATGCCCCAGCCAGATGGTTGTCCGATCAGATAGCACGTGGCGTTGCCTATCTACATTCTGAGCACATGATACATCGGGATCTGAAAGTGAGTATCACTGAACCTTTGCACGGTACAGTGACAGGATGTTGTTGTTGCACTACTAGATTAATCGAGGCTTCCTTGGAACGGGTGTATTTACACTTCCTTTACCCTCCTGAAATTCTAGATGTAGAGTTCAATAAAAAAAATTTGAACGGTTCACATAACCAATGCCATTGTAACCGTGTGAAGTGCTGCGAAAGCTTCTGTATCCATAGATGGACCGGTCGGTTTTATTTAATAGTGCGTCACCAGTCTGCAAAGTCTTGCAGACGTGATGTGTAGAGTCGTCTGTGTTCGTTTAGGTAACTCTGGTCGCTTCAAGACGTCTGGCAATTGGTAACGCCGGAATACGGGTTAACTTCCGACCTGTTGACTGTTGTCTTGACAACAGCTGAATCGCATGTTTCATGGTATGTTCACTTGTACATTCCGCTAGACGTCTGTATTCCGTCAGCATGAGCGTCCTGGCTGCTGCAAGAGAACATGAGTGGCAGAGATAGTAGACAATCTAATTTCTTGTTTTCGGAGGACAAACCCTCTGCTAGTCTGTGTGAAACGTGCACACGCTGAAAGACTGGAGTCAGCTTCCCCTCGGCGCCGTTGCTCAACTAATAGCTTCTGAATTGAAGTAACGAGTAGACATCCTCTAGTCAACTAGGAAGTTGAAAGAAGGCTGAACAACCTTCCAATTCACTTCAGATGTGACACGTTGATTTCTGAATATAATTAAATGTCCCGAATTTACTGAAAATGATCCGTGTCTGCAGTAACAAATGTGCCGCCAACAAAGGTCTTATCAAGTAGAGCTTTTGAAACTTTTTAAGTACGTTTCGGTCATTTCTGCGAATACATCTGCTTTACAGGACGAAAACTCCACTGAAACGTCTCAACAAAGCTTTATCAGAATTTTTAGGCGGAACAAACCAGTAGATCGAAAAAGAGAGTCATTCAGTGCAACACCCTTTCGGGGTCTTTCGGCCATGCAACCCGAATGAAGTACGGGGACTGAGAAACTGTTGGGTTACCTAATTTCAGATGACAGCAGGCGAGATACCGGGGTTGGGTTCGAACCTAGGACCGTCCTGTCACTGAGTCTGCTCCCTAATCAGCGACCCGCTTTGAATTCTGAACACAGTATACATATGGGGCGAGATGGCTCAGTTGGTTGGAGCGCGAATTTACTGAAGGGAAGGTCCGTGGTTCGACCCCGACCTGTGCCTCTCGACTTCCCCTGTCTAGGCTTAGGCAACTTGAAAGTATCCCAGCCCTCGTGCTTCGTTCGTGTGGCATGGCAGGTAGGCATCGAAAGGGTGTTATAGTTGAATGATATTAGCAATATACATACGCTTGATGCGGTTTCACACATCATCAGCGACGGTAACATCGATGTTGACAATGATTCTTCACTGACTTACAATAAGAAAATTTTTACCTAATTATTGATCGACCCCCACCACCGGTAATCGAAAGCGATGTAGTCTATTTGGATTATGGACTGATTCGTCGGGGCGCACCACGTCAACTGATTTCGGCTTTTCTGAAAATTGGAACCGCAAAGGAACGATCTCTGATCAGTGCACATCTGAAACAATGAACTACATTGTCCGTGCGTCTCATGTCCAACCGAAGACGACCACCCATTTGAGTTTCAGCACCTCGTGGTCTGTCTACCTAAGCGTTCACGTCAGCAGCAACCACGACGGCGTCTAATGTTTTAGTACATTGTAAAAGAGCACCTAGTGTCATGGAAACCCTCTTTGGCAAATTCAGCGCTACACTCCATCGAGTCGTAAACAGAATAAATAAGCAGGATGCGATGGACCTCGCTTTTTCGAGATTTATTTTCATGGACATTGCCAAACGAATAGCATAGAGGCGGATATCAACGGATACACAATCGAATAGAGCCCTTTCCACTATGTTGCTCAACACAATATCCACCCCCGCATATCCAGCCGCACCGGTGTCCGCATCACTAGAGATGTACAGGCGGAACCTGAGAGAAAGCGAAGGGACGGTCAGTTCAATCACAGTACTTGCGTACCGTATCATTGTTTCTGACAGAGCATGCGTCAATGCAGAGGGAATCAAGCGTACGAGCAACAGTCGCTTGTTTCTTGCTTGTTTCACTGTGCGAACATTAAGTAGATCGGCTTTCGCGATTGAAAACAGACTTCGGAGTATTTAGGGTTAATGAAGTCGAACAGAGAGAAGCTGCCACTGAAAGTGACGCACGGTTAACAAAGCGGTCAGTCCTAGTGCTGGGACCTGAGGAGGGAGCGCCTAAATGGGGTTGAAGTAAAAAGGGAGGCATCAGTAGTAGCGTGGTTTTACTTACCCACCCCCCTATATACAGCGAGTAAGGCGACCTGGCTGGTGAAACCACGGGACGAATGATGTGGTCTGAGATCAGTTAGTTGTAGATATCATGGTTGTGCGTTGGCTGGGATACTATCAGGGTACCATGACGCAGAAGGGAGGACGATTAAGGTACTCGATCAAAATCTTTGGCTCAAAAGCCTTACCGCAACGCGGCGATGTTTAGCGGAAAATTCAAGTGGAACAAGTCGCAACGCGTTACAACTCGGAACCCGGAGAGCCAGGAGACTGTTGATCAAATGTCTAACCACCAACCAACCTAGTATGATAGGGGCTTGGAATAGCTCAATTGTTACGGACCAGAAGTTCCGTAGTTCGGATTCAACTTCAGCATCTCAACTACTCTTCTATAGGTTTGGGCAACCTGGCACTGTCCCAGCCCTCGCTTCCTTCCGTTGTCATGGCAGATTCGATATGTATGAGAGACTGTGTGTGTTTGCGTGAATGCCGCACGGATACCACCCAGTGTACTTCAGAGGCACACAAGCCGTCACACCATGCGACAAGTCTCTTCGGATTTGTGTCTAGTTTCTGGGTTCTTGATTCTTCGGAGAAAGCCCACTCGGATTTCTTTTAATGACTACGAACTAGCAACACGCGCGTGATGTGTGAAGCTAGATCTCCTAACTCGGACCTAAACTTGTTTGGAAACAGGCAACGTGCACGTTCGGTGGTTAACTCATCGGTCGATTTTCTTACCCGATGTCCGGAGTTGAGCTTAAGAGGCTGCAATGCCAGCTCATTATGGATCTTAGAGAAATTTAGCAACTGGTGTTGTAGACGGGGTAGTAATTCTGGCCCCAAGTAGTCAAATGTTTCCTTTGCTTTCCTGAGTTTTGTAATAGTCGATGGTGTCCGGCTTTTCATGGTCCCTTGTTCGCAATTCCATTTGTACCCCACTACAGCAGGTGAATTACCCATAAACCTGAGCTTGTTTTCGTGTTCAGTTCGACATTTCAGTGAATCTGATATGTTATCCGAATACTGTCATTCGTGCTACTTAGCCATGCTCCCTAGCCAGTTTGGAGTAGCAGCAAAGCTCAGGCCTGTAGGTTACGTGTTTCGGGTGAGTGAATGAGCCTTTCGGTACTTCATGCATGACATTCCTCAGAACCCATAGCTGTAAATGTACACACGCAGTCCATTACTCACAAGAGGAAGGTACGAACGTTCATTCAGGGTTGCCGTTTGCTCACTATATTAGGTTTACTACTTGTGACGCCGTTGTCGTTACACTGAAGATGACTGATAAAACTCCTCCTTGCTCCACTTTTCTCGCCTAGCCTGAAAATGTCCTTCTTCGTGGACCCCCACTTTCGGAAATTTCCGATGAACCTTGCAAATGTATCCCTGGGTGTCTGCAACGAATCCCGCCCGAAGCAACTTCCTGCCCGTCCATTTCATCCGATCTTGGGAGTTGTTCCAAACCTTGTTACCATCAGCTTGTTGTAAAAATTTGCGACTTTGGGTTGGCACGTTTTCTCTCGTTATCCCCTGAGCAGCATGTTATCCGTCAAAGCGTAGTTTCAGACAAAGATGAGAGTAAGTACCCCTAATCCGTGAGATGGAGCTATCCTCACTTTCGTACATTTTTCATGGCCAGAGTAAAGGGGCACGTCTGTCCAATTGTTTCTTCAGATATCTCTTCAACTCCAAAACCAATTCTGCCTAAGCCACTTATCTTACTTTCTCCTCCTCTTGAAACAAAGTTCAATCATCCGAAAATACGATATGGCATGGCTTATTTTAGAGTAAATAACACATTTTATCACTTTGAAGAACGCGCTGCGTATAAGTTTGACTAGTACATGCCTTTCTGAGTTTACCTGATGTAAGTTGTCGGTCAGCGCATACGTGGAATTTCCAGGTGGATGTGCTTTTCGTCCAAACATAACCCACAAGACTCCCTTTGATAATTTGTGTTGTGTATGTGCGAAACTGGACACATGTTTTCCGGTGAAGTCCGACCAGACGTGGACGGTTTTTCTATCCCTGTTACTTCTGCAACATTTGGTTCCTTTTTAAAAGGTTCAATCCGGTTTTCTGTTTCAGCTGCTCAACGGTAGCTATAAAATGACCATCGTTACACTTTTTTGTCCTGTGATGTAACTTTTTAACGAACTTTAACGAGGTGTCTATCGGCATCGTGTTGTGACTCTTTTTCGTCGTTACGTCTGTTGCCTTTTTATCATGGAGTGATTCCACTTGAGCATACTTGTACTGTAATGTATGACCATGTGGTTATCTCGAAACTTTCATTTCTAACTTAAAGCACCTATGACCACTCTCTGTTTGTCCCGATCCCCCAACGACTGTCTCTCCGAACCAGCACGATATCCGAATTCGAGTGCTTCCGGGGACCAAAGTCCTGTTCGCTCTTCTGAACGGGCATCAAATCGCCGTTCTAGGTAAGCTCTTTATATAGCGGGACCTTAGGTGTACTCATGCTCCACATCTACCGGACCGTCATTTGTTATTCGCTTACCATCATCCTTGCTTCTATTTGAGCCCTGCATTTTTTGCGATATTCCTGGCAAATAGTGGGTTATGCACATTATTCGCCCCTTAGATGCAATGAGTAGTCATATCCACAATGTCAGTTTTTCTGTTGAACGTTTCCACATACGAATGGAAACATTTTCTCAGATGTCTGTGACTCTGATGTGCACAACGGAACTGAAAACGGTGCAGAGCGCTATGCCGTTCTAGAAAGACTAGTCATCACTATCACCATCATCAGTGTTCAACAGAGATGCTCCGCTACCGCGCAACCATGAGTTAATGGAAAGCCATATTGTGAAGAAAAGAATAAAGGTGGACGGGGAAGGGGCTTAAAGCTAGCGTACTACAATCATTCCGAGGTGTATACGCCTCCGGGCACTCATTCAGGCAATCTGGATAGAAACTGACAACAAGAACGCCAATAACATCGGTTGGCAATGTCTCCAACCAGACACATTGGGGATCACGCGGCCCTTATCCTGGGAGGCGAGCAGCACCGACAACACCAAAGCGTTTCGTAATCTCCTTCGTACACTTCTGCCAGCTCAAGGTTTGGCGACCTCTCTGCTTCTACCACTCTGAATTGGGCATGGAAAACAGCATTTTCTTCGGCAAACGATGGATGGACATACGCAACGTATGTCCCAACCAAGGCAATTAATGGTGCTGGACACAGTCCTCAATTGAAGTTCCTGTTGCACAGCTGAAAGTCGCCTCGTTACAGGTTCGCCGACACCAACCCACAGGGGCTATGGTTCTGAGACAACGACTGTTGAACACCTGAAAACGTCTCAGTTCCGCTGCTCGAACAAGCCAAGTCTCACACATACACAACAAAACAGCTCGCACTGTAGCTTGATACACACGTCCCTTGAGATTCAGGGATACACCACTTTGACGTTGTGGATGTCTTAAATTAGCAAACGCGACGTGGGTCTTGCAGATTCGTGCATTGACTTCATCTGCCACACTACAATAAAAAAAATAACAGCTTCCAAGATACGTAAAACTCTCCGCAACTTCCAATATCTGTCTCTGGATTTTAAGTGGCGTGTTCAGTGACTGCTCTCTAGTCAGTGTCTTACGAGGCGATGAAGCATTAGTGACGCCAACAGTCTCGTTACGACTGGGGTCAAAGTAATCCCTCTGTGGTTACCACATTCACTACGAGCTCCTTTTTCGAAATGGGCACTATCACCGAGTCTCCACAATTGTCTGGGACAGATTTGTTTTCCCAAACAGATCAGACAAGCGCCGCCTGAGGACTTCACTCCCATCTTTGAACAACGCGGGTGGGAGATCATCCTGGCGAAGAGCTCGGTGGCGCTTGAGAGGACATATGTAGTCGTAGACCTAGGCCGTATGTGGTTCCACGTTCACCGTCCAGGGTTCTATGTCAGCTGTGGGCTCCAGTTGAGGGGCAGCCGGTGGCTATGACAATTAATGTTCGAAGGATTCGGCTAACCGATCGAGGTATTGCAAAACGACCGGCAGTCAATTGTTGGTCGGTGCCATCGGTAAATGATGGCAGTATGGTCGATTTGAGTCTGTGGCCGGCATGCCTTTGGGGGACTTCGGCTTTTTTGGAAGTTAGTACTGTAGAAAGCAGCGTTTGGTCTGTAGGCAACTGAAACAATCTCTCACCATTGTCCATATGTATCGAGTCCAATCCATATTGACCTTCTAATTACGCAAAACTTGCCTACCGACAACAAGCAAGACATCTAAGCATTTAGCCCGCCGCAACATGACATTCAAGGCGTCACAAAACTTGTCTCCGATTGTTTTAAAGGTTGAAGCGTAAGCAAACATGACTAACAGACAACGAGCGTTGCCAGACAAACCACACAGAAGATACTATCAACGGGTATCCAGTCAAGCAAGGATCCTCCCACACGGTGACTTAGGACGATACCAACTCCTGCACGTCTTACCGCAGCAGTCTCTGGATCTTCTGAGGTGCGTACCCGGGAGCGAGTGAAGAGTTATCGGGCGGTTAGCTCAACCGCCGTACTTGCATCTTGAATTTTTGTTTCTGAGACACAGCACACATCAATGGCAAACGAGTCCAGTGTGAGAGCAAAAGTAACTCGTTGTCATGCTTGCTTCAGATTGCGGATATTAAAAACGGCCCGGTAGACTGGGTGTCGAGGTTTGGAAATTAATTTCGAGATGCCTGGAGACATCGACACTAAGCGACTAGCAGATGTTACAGGGAAAACCGATGGAAGACGAACGGAGTTGTCAGTCTTAAGCGCTAGGCCTTCAAGGGGTGAGTTATTGATGGAGTGGGGAGAGGGGGATGAAAAAGTATGAGAGAGAGAAGGGAGGAGTCACCACTAGCACGTTTTCGCTAATCCGTCCTGCTGTATGCAGTGTGTGCGGCTCATGGCACCATACGGCGGTGAGTGTTGCTCGAGTTTATTCGAATAAATGGATATCATGGTTGCACGTGGGCTAGAATACTGTCAGAGCGCCCACACCTAGACAGGAGGACGGTGAGCGTCCTCAACCAAAGCCTGTGTTTCAGAAACCTAACCACAATGCACCGATGTATGGCGGGAAATGCAAATGCACTACCATTTCTATGGAACAAGTCGACACATGTTCCAATCGCTCACCTGGAGGACCAGGAGACTGTTCATCAGGCGTCCAACCTGCTATGAGAGACTCTTCGAGTGTCGTGGGAGCACCCCATGATATAGCTTAGTGGGTCGCTGAGGTGTACGAGCCTTCACATTACAGTAAGTTCCAGTCTGTTGGTGACGGTTGTCTTTTCGTTTTGTTTTTACAGATTACAGATCAGGTTTTTCTAAGCCTAGTTCAGGGCTACTGTCTATGCTTTTCACTGGTTTTGGATTCCCAATTTCTAGGTCGCGCCGAGGCAACTGTTTTAGTAAGGAACAATATTTTTCTTATCTAAAATAACTACAACTGAAGCAAGCCTAGAGAAATGCCAGTGTCTTGTTTATCATTCTAGCTATGATTAGCGGCGCATCCCTCAGTTTGGATTTCTGATTCAAGTTGATTTCACGATCCGGATAGTCAAATTGTCTCTCGGAATGAAATCCCGAACAAACCGCTATCCAGAAATTACCGGTGGTTGCTACGGGCATGGCAGTTTTCAAGCTTGCGGCGCTCCACTCATCTCTCTATACATCTCTGGCTTTTTTCTGTTAGCATGTTTGTTTTCTTTGAGTCAGCCTTAAGCTGCTGCGTCTAAAAACTTGGTTCAACACTGTCGGTGATACGAATCTTAATGTCTCATTTGGAACTGTTTATTTCAGGTTGGATCGAAATCATTGCGCACCTATACTGTCTTCTGAACCTGGCTGCCAACCGCCAAAACCACCCACGAATGAGTGTGCCAGAGGAGCAATCGCGCGCTTTGATCTTGCCAAAAATGTACCTTACCTTCTTACTGCCAACCTGGGTAGTGCTATTTACGCGGCGCCCGAAGTCAACACAAATGCCAGATTCATGAAAACGGAATATGACTTCAAGGTTAGTTCATTTGTGAATACGTGTTCAAATAAACTTTTAAAAGTCTCTTATACATGAAAGTCCTAGCCTGTGGTTAGTACAAGCAGCCTGGCTTATTCATCTATCACACGGGTCAACTCAATTATGACCCTGAGACAGTTGTTTTCCACCATCACATTTTTCTGAACAGTTGTCGTCCAACAAGTCTCACTGAAAACCTTCTAATTTGCCTCAGCTGTAGAATTACTACTCAGGAACTACAGTGCAGTCGTATTTAGATCCTTCTTAACACGGCAATGCGTATTCACGTAGCAATTATCCTCCACAAATCGTTGGATACTGTCGTTAGTTGCTTGCTGTTAAGAATTTCCCACCCACTCCTATTCGACCGCGCGGTGGATAGAACCACGTTCTGGTATCTCACTCGAATACAATAAACTGCGTGTAGGTTACCGTCGATTCATCATCATTTTTATCCTAGTGGGATGATGAAAATCATTGGTTTGCTAAGTGTTCGAAATGGAGTTATGCCGACCCAGTTGTTTTTCATTGATTGACGATCAGACTGATCGGCTAGTTCTACGAAAACGCCATTCGCCATGCACAAAACCAAAGTCGTTTCATAACGTGGATCTGATTGTGGATGTGCGTAACAGTCCTTTCCTCCGATGAAGTCAAACTACAGTTTACCGCTCCACTAGAGGAAATCAGTACATTGGGTGGAGTCATGTCAAAAAATCCAGCCGTCGTGGTCGAACAGTTGACCGACCCTATTAGCCGGTAAGAAGAGAAATCGCTGCGCTTCCAACTGGAAGGTCATTTGGCCCATCTACGTAACCAGTATCTAATATTAGATATGCCAAGGTCAGACCACGTTTTCCAAGCGAATATGTGACACAATCGCTTACCCACCAACAAATCGACCGAATCGAGTAGCCAGGCCTTACTGACGACAGTATTAACGTCACGAAGACTAGTGATAATTAGGTCACCTTTCCACTGAGAACCTATATTTTTTCTGTATGCGCTTGCAACAGCCCAGATGGCAAGGCGGGTGTGGTCCAATTGTGCTCTGCGTGGTAAGGCCTCATTTGGTCACGCATTTGATGCACTGAGCGGGAAATGCTTAAATAATTTTTTTCTATGTTGGAACTGCAAGTTTTATCAAACGCCGTGTTACGATCGTTTAACCACCATAACCTCCTTCCCTTGCAACCGTGGTGTATTTGAGACTTGATAATGTACCAATTACGCGATTACTCCAGAATTGACGCAGGGTTTCGCTCTATGTTTTGAGCAAAAGAGTTAGCCATTCGATCCCGAAGAAACAGTATGCATTTAGGGAGTTCTAAATGAGAAAAAAAACATTTGCACCTCATTGGAGAGTATTTTGTTTTTTCGCTATCAGTTCGCTTTTCACGTGAAACGCATTATAATTTCGCATATGCATGCTGTGTTTCTGCAATAAAGTTTGCCTGAAATTCTCAGCAAGGCTGTTCAATTTTTTTCAAAAGGCCGACATATTCAGCATGGGTGTTATATTCCTACAACTGTTCTACCCTTTCCGAACGCTTCATGAATTGGTCGACTGTTTGCAAAATGTTTCCAACGCAAGCCAAAGCTCTGAAACAATAAAATCTATCATGAACAGTTTTCCTGTAAACTTTGTCTCGTCCTGGCCAGATGAGGTAGGTCCGCTAATTTGTTTTTAGAGGGATTCAAATATATTTGCTTTCATAAAAATTCGTCGTAAAAATCGAATCCACTGTCTCCTTATCAACCCATCAGTCCATGTGGACGCCGTGCACAGTATCAGCCGTGAGAGTGAGAAGCTTGGTTTGTTATGGTTCATTGGAGCATTCATCCTGAATTTTTACCATTGTTTCATAACTCCGACGCGTCTGATTCCGGTTACTTTAGGTGAGGATGTTGTCTGGCATCTCTACCAGGTTTCATTCTGAGAACTTGCTATCATACCTCTACGTGTTCTTCAATGTGAGGAAGGATAGTCGTTCTTTGGAACTTATTTGTTTTGAACCTTCTAGTTGGAACTGACCATGGAAGACTCAATCACGTTCGCAGCCACGTTAAGTTGGAAATAAGGCACCCCGTCCCAAATTCTGTATTACGACGAAACGACGAGATGGCTCAGTTGTTAGAGCGTGAATTTATGACTTTTCCTGTCTGGGTTCGGGCAACCTGACAGTATCCCAGTCATCGTGCTTCATTCAGGTGGCATGGCAGCTAAGCACCGTAATGGTTCTACAGCTGAACGAAAATAACTGAAATTCGTTCGGCTGTTCTATTATGCATACAGTTCTTTTACGGCATTCGCTCTATCAGAAATATGGGTTGTCATTTTCGAAACCGTGTTATAACTGACATTGGAGTTATCGTCGCATTGGAATTCATAATGATACTAAGCATAATTCACCATCACCCATTGAAATATCCAGGTTAGTCGCAACTTGTGATTAACTAAATCTTGAGTTCCATTCATCCAGAGTAACTTTTGTGGATAATGATGCATACCAATGTACATTGGGTGAATATCGACGGTGGTAGTTTCACTGTTTTATGAACTACGTGTCTATATTCAACTCCCTAACCGAACAATAAATTTCATGTTCTCTCCCATATTCTTAGACAGTACCGCTGAGATTTCGGTTCGGTAGTCACCGTACTCTACCCGATTCCACTAGCGATAATCACTTTCCCGTTTAAGGACGTGGGGACGATAGATGACACTGACAGGTATTGCTTATCAAGTAGTGGCCTTACGATATCGTTGGTGCTCTCACCTTCAAAGCCATCAATTGGAACAATAGTGCTTGAGTGCCAAACGATCATACACGGGAGTGATGCATCTCAAATTAGACAGGTACTCAGGCATGATCATTCAAGGTTGTCGGGGTTCTGACCGGTTCACCCAACTGGTCATTTTAACTTCATCCAATTTGCTATTGATCGCTGAAGTGTTGCTGCTAATGAGGACGATGTTGGTTAGTCAGTCACGGTTATTTTGATTCACACCAAAATTACAGTAAATCGTACGGCGTCAGATAATGAATGGTTACACCAGAGCGTAGCACCGCGTGTTGGATGTGGTAGCGGCATTCTCTCCTAGCGATTAGACATCGTTGAGCGTGCTCCGCTTCCGCCCCCAACACCTACCATTTATTCAGCAGTTAATTGGAGTATACCAAATACTCGTTGTACCTTGACTGACTCAGTTGAAATGGCGCCTGACTGTTTCGCGGCGGAACCTGTAATTTACCTAGAGATATATTTTTATCACTAATGACCTGTGATCATTACCCCTTTTGTGCGCATTTTAAGACGCCATCTTGATTTATCACGATAAACTTGCATGAAATTATGTATATTCCTTCGTTTTAGAGTCAGCTCGTGGCCAGAATGTTAAGCAGACGGTCGGATAGTCGTCCGACCGCATTGGAACTGTTGTGCATATTAGCCAGTAGTTCGGAGGTGAGTCCTTCTCATTCTTTCATAGCGGGCCTGAATGCCCTCTGACAGTCATAGTAACCGATCCTTCATTGAACTTTTTACTGGTTACATCTGCAATCGGGCCTGCTTTCAAGTTGGCAAAGGTTACACTAACAAAATGTTGGCTATAAAAATGCAGAGGCGAGGTGGCTCGGTGGCTAGGGCGCGAGTTAACTGACAAGAAGGTCCGTGGTTCGAACCCGACCTCTGCATTTCGACTTCACGTGTATATGCTTGGGCAACCTGGCAGTATCCCGCCTCTTGTGCTTCCCTCGGGTGGCATGGCAGTTGGGCACCGAAAGGGTGCTACAGCTCGACGATCTATAAAAAAATGCATAGAAAACCGAATTCCATTACCGTCGTCGTTAACAGCAACACCAGGTAGCACCACCGTACAGCCATGTTAGTCTATTAGAATAAAGGCTTATAACGGAAAAGCGAAAACTGGAGCAGGGAAGTCGACCTAGAACTAGTCTGAAATAGAGGTATCTTGGTTCTTAATCTTCACTTCAACTGCGTTACATCTGTATCGCGTCCTGTTAAGCTGAATCACGTTGCTTCGTACTGTGTCGCGCTGTCTATTTAGCCCGTCTGACCACGTGAGCTTAGAGTTACGGGAGAACGGATGTTGTCACATCAGGGAGATCCATTGGCCTATTCCGATGAGATAGGCTGATCCGAAGACGGGCGTCAGCCTACTAGATAGCATAGTGGTCAGTGGAGCGCCACTTCTCTCTGCTATGCATAATGATTTCCGATTCATCTGACAAAACTCACTATTCAGAGGCCTTCCAGTTTTCCTACAACTGCTTCGCTGATAGCCGACTAGCATACGGACCTATTTGACGTAACCCCTAATAGTCATCCTTCAGCTGTAACATCCTTCCAGTACCCGGCTGCCATGCGACCTGAAGAGAGCACGAGGGCTGATATACTGCCATGTTGCCCAAGCCTAAACAGGAGCAGTTGAGATCCAGAAGCTGTGTTCGAATCACCGACTTTCCGGTTAGTAAATCCGCACTTTATCCACTGAGCCACCTCGAGCCTCATTCTAGTGATTCAATATTCACGTTTTTGCACCTTTGACCACAGTCCTTTCAAATTCTGGAAAGAGTAACGCACTTGTGAGGCGCTGTACTAGTCCTTGAACTATCAAATACCCTACACTCTAACTAATCACTAAACCTAACAAAGTCTCTCAGCTTTTCCATTCTTCTAACGTCCCTAGCAGAACACAAACTTTGTTCAGTGAATATTTGAGGGAAACTGAAAGCTATCGCATCATCTCTGCTTTCCATCCACGATAGTTCCGTGTACGTTAATCAAGGATCTCTTTTCTAGTTTCCAGATTTAATTCAATATCGCTTTACGTCTGAAGCTTCCATCAGTGGCGTCCCACACGATCGTCCTGGATCAGTTGCCGACGTTCGGCTCCCTCCTAGTGAACTCGACTCTATTGGCTCATCTTCACATCGTGCATTTGACCTCCTTTTGTGGCGCACCCGAGAGTTGGAACGCGAAAATTTAGATCTTCGACGACGTCTTTCATTTTACGAATCGTCATGACTGGTCAGGATTTCTTTGTATTTTGTAACTATCCATTCGACCTCAGGTTGTCCCATTCGCCATTTTTATTTATAAGATCAGACTTATTTACATCGCCCCGATTTCTCTCCGTAAATTGTGTCAACAAACGGGTTCACACCCATGGAACATCCAATAATTTTATGAATATCCTAGTTCAGCCGTAAAAAACACCAATGAACCTCAGCGTTGGGTGAAGTCAAACTCCTATGACAGCGTCATAGCAAGCCTGCATTTACTGTGGTTGACCATAAAGGCGTAGGACAGGGCTTGTGAAATGTGCTCTTTTTCAACTATCTGGTGTCGATCAACAAACAGTGCGTTCCGACTAGTCATCGCGTCGTTGTTTTTCAGTAGGTCGATGACAGAATAAGTAGATCGGTTGCCTCCATATCAGAAAATAGGAGCAATCCACACTGGTGGTGTTCGGTAGATTCCTTGAAAGTGTGCTTGCACGTTTGGTAGGTCGTTATTTGTCTCCAATGGGATGTTAAAACCTTTTTTATTAGTCTGGGTCGGGATAAGTTCAAAAAAGCACTACGCTGCTCCCATTTTGGCTTTGCATATAAAGTCCATACCTAGGATTGGGCAACCTGTAAGTATCGCAGCCCTTGTGCCTTCTTCGCATGACATGGCAGCTAGGCGCCGAAAGGGTGTTACAGCTGAACGATACATAGTCGCGTAGTTCGAATCACCATTCCCGTTCTTGTCTCGGTCCGATTTTGGTTAATACATCATGATCAAATAAACAATAGGGTGAAGACCACAATTTCCTGGCCTACAACCGGTCATCGTTGACATCACAAACGCTGAAGAACAAGATGCACCAACAAGTCAGGCTGTTACCTTTGCAAAGCGGTGTCCGGTGTGACACCATAAACTAACTACTCATCATCAACCTTATAAATGGCGTCATGTTGAAGGTTCGAATCTATCAGACGGAATGGTATGTCGACTGAAGCATGGTATTTCATCTTGTTGTTTTTAGTACTTAATCATCCATTTGACGTCTAAATCAGTATCATCCTCCGAAGTCTGTTGCACCCGGTGAAATTCCCTACCTTTTACAAAGACTATAAACCGAGAATAAACTGCGTAGGTTACCATTGTTCACGGATGCTTTCGGTTCACTGACCTTGGCGACTTTGCTGGAAACGTTTCAACACCCATTGGAGGTGCCACCATCATTGAGTTATCGTGGCTTTACAATATACCACTCCGATTTTGACCGGCCACGTTTGCGGCAAAATCGCCGACCACAGTAGTCTGACCACCAACTAAACAACCCAAGCTATGAACATTCTTCCTACGTCGAGCATATCTCTACTGCATCGAGTGCTTGAGGACAGTTTGCCAAAACAGAGTGGCATGGTCCGGTTGGAGACCATAAGTCCGAGGGAGATATATCATTCCTTACTGGTGAGGAATTCAATGTGGAGGGATGACAGTAGTATCTCGTTCGCGTCCGGGAGATGTCAAAAGATCTTCAATCACAGACTCACAGGAATTACGGTGGCCTCAGGTACCAACACCGCCTAGTGACATTTGCTAGAAAGTTGTATTATACAGTACTTCTTCCCATGGAATAACGAAAATCTGCTGCTCCAGGGAGAGCACCACCAGATAACCTTTTGCCCCACCTCTCTATAAGTGCCTCCGGTGACGTGTTCGTGGGATGAATTCATCATTAGTCATTGTGCCAGTACCCAATCACGAACACTGGAAACCAACTGCTCAATGGTATTCAACTTTGTGAATACCGCCAAACCCCAATAATTCCGTAAGCCGCTTGGAAAAATACGGGCGCGACGGATTTTCTACTCCAAGTGAAAACAAGAGGATGGTATCGGATATATTAACCAGAATAGCCCGGTCGATTTTCTTGGCAATGACCAGTCTGTGTTCATGCTAAAGCCAATATGGGCCTCATTCCTGTAAGTGTCATACTGAGTTCCGGGGAAACGCACTGTGCCTATCCACGAACCACTTACGATTTGTCTAATCAAAAATCCCCACACTATCTCTTTAGATACGACAATCGCGTTGACGTAAACATCTAGTCTCGCCGACGCCTGGTCTATCCATTTTGGTTCACAGGTCATCCTATGTGTGGCGTCGAGACAGCGTGCGGTGAACCTTGCTGATGTTCATTTGCGAAGCCGTTTGTATGCTCCTGTTGAGTCGCTCAGCTGTGACGTTTTCCGTGCCTAGGTGCCATACATGAGGAAGCATGAAGTCATCATCATCGTCAGTTGTAATAACCGCGTACTTGTCGTAAAGTGGTTGTAGCTACCAGTTTCGTTCACCGATGATTCAGAGAGGTGGGGTAGATAGCTGCGCATAAGGGGCGGGAGCGGAACAATTGGTGCAGAAATAGAGCACTGTAGGTGGACTGTTAAGTAGGGGGGTTCGGAGGGGAGCTATGCATTGGAGGCGATAGATTTGATGCATGAGCGCGACTGGGCCATGTCTGACAATGTCTCTACCCACTGATATGGCCTTCTCGGGGTCCTCATCCGGGAAGACGGCAATGACCAGCGTAGATGAGTTTTCCGGTAATGGCTGTTGCACTTCGCTGCCAAATCATTGTTTGGCCGCCTCTGGCCCTCTTCCACCCTTCACGTGGTTGTGCGAAAAGAGCCCTTCGAGGAAGTCGGTCGACGGGCACACGCAACACGTGGCCAAGCCAGCGCAACCTGTGCAGTATGATCAGTTCATCTATCGAGGGTGAGTTATTTCTCCCGAATACCATTCGACATACTTCAGAATTGCTAATCCCGTGTTCCCACCAGATTCGGGCAATGCTCCGAAGACATCGATGGTCAAACACTGAAAGTCTTTTGACGTCCTCGGCGCGCAGCGGCCAGGTTTCTGATCCATATAGTAATATGGAGCGCACCGCTGCATTGTAAACTCGACCCTTGACAGAGAAGCTCATGTCACGCATACGCCACAGGTGACGTAATTTCACAAAATCTGCCTTGTCCTACTCAATCCGGATGAAAATATCATCTTCCGCGAGACCACCGGGACTGATACAGCCGCCCAGGTAAATAAATATGTCTAGTACCTCAATCGGTTCATCAGCAATCATGAGGCTAGGGTTCAAGCCTACCCAGTCTTGCAGTAGAACTTTACACTTTGGAGGTGTGAGGCGCATGCCGAACCGTGAGGCATCACCACGGGGTCAGATCCCAGAGGAGCAATGTCGTCCGCGTACTCGATATCTGTGAGCTGAGGCCCAGGGAGCACTTCGACCCCACAGGCATTAGAGGCTGGTAGTGAGTCCTCCATAATCGCATCAATGACAGATTTGAATAGGAAAGGTGAGAGGACAGTCCTGTCAGACCTCGGAAACCTCTTGTCAGTGAAACAATCAGGGACCAAAATGGCAATTCAGCTGGCCACCTACTACCCCCAATCCAGAAACCCGGCCTTCCGGAGAAAGGTGGACCGTAAATATGGAGCCACCTTCAGTCTCAGAAGTGTCCGATTGCATTTCTCAAGCGTCATCGTGCTGCTGGTCC